TGTGTTTGCAGAGTTGCTCTTTGGGGAAGTGGCGTAGGTTACTCTCTTGGTATTCAGTTTGTTTGGGGCTAAACATAATGGAAGGGTTGTGAAGAGGGAGTTAAATCATTCCAGGGCTGTGTGTGTTTACAAGTTCAGAAGGGTCAAACCAATCAAAGTTCAGTCAAAATGTGATGAGGGTATCTCTTTAGCTGTCCATGATCAATGTGGGACTGTCCAGAGACAGAAACTCCCCAAGGATACGACTGTATCAGTGCTGAGGAAACAAGTGATTGTACTGAACAATATCAGTAGCCCACTGGGCCTTCCTTAGTAACTTCTGCCCAGACTAACAGTCCTTCTGAGCAGATGTTTAATATTGAGAAACTAGCTTCTAAAGATTAATGGCATGTCTCCTGTTGACTTGAATGGGAGTCCCACAGCAAACACTTCTCTATATAAATCCATGTCATGCCCATATCTTGAATACTGGGTGCTCAGGTGATCACCTTGATTCTGCAAAAACTTAAGCATGTGCTTAACTTCATGCATTGTGAGCAGTTCCAATGATTTCAATGGCATTACTCATTTTGTATGAAGTTAATCATATGCAGAAATCTTTGCAGAAATTGGGCTTAGACTATAAGATCTTTTGATGGAAGGCTTTTAAATTATATGCTGATGACCTACCAAAACAGGGCCCTCAGCCCTGTTAGTAACTGCGCTAGTACAAATAATTGTGGGGTTTATCAAGTAGATTGTGCAAACATTTACATCTGTGCATATAAATAAACACTGACAGAGCTAACTACATAAAGTTGGCACTAAAAAAGCAACATTTTTAGACTTAGGAACCTAAAGTTAAGCAGTTAAATTCAGAAAAGGGGAACACCTGCAGCTCTCACTGACTTCTCAAGAAACAGGACTTTTCTGTTTCTTGTATAAGATACTTATCAGGTGGTACCTTAATTTCTTGGTTAGTGTGAGGCAGAGTCTCTCACTGTAGTCAGCACAGTATGTTGATCTTAATGGATTGTTTCAGCTAGACCAGACTCACACAGCTACATTTCTATTACTGACTTCACAAGGAGAGATGCCAGTGGTCACCATCTTTGAAAATCAGACCAATTTTATGTAGATGCCAAACTCTGGAGCTCAGTACATAACTTTATACATCTGAAGTCTGAAAAATGTAGCTTTAATTTTGTGTGCTGCAGTTTCCAAATTAAACATGGAAATGCTGGCATACTTCACCCAAATGTATATTTGACCCTCCACAGACAAGGGATCTAACTGCATCCAGAATCCCAGCCTTTCTGCACAACTGTCCCTTCCAATGTCAGCTGGAAGTCTCATATAGCTGAAGTGAGTGTGTGGAGAACAGGGCCTTAAAATTCCAAGCACACACTTTACATAAACAATTAATATTAAATTTCACTTGCATTTTGGTAGGACCTGCAAAGTGCTATTCATGGTCTAAATATAGAGTATAATTATGGTCTGTACAACAGAGCTCACAATTTGAGAAGACAAGCAAAAGCCAAAGAGCAGGAAGAAGGATAAACCTTACAATCAACATTGCTTCCCTCCCTTTTAAACATTAACAATCCTCAAAGGTCTTTTGGTCTACCAACCAACACCTAGACATTTTTAATATATAGCACACTAAAGTTGGTCTAAAAGGCTTAAAAAGAAGAGAAGATCATGGCCTTATGGCTCAGCTCAAGGAGAGTGATGTCTATGTGTTAGTGGGCAGCACAGGAAAACCACTAAGGACAAAATTCAGGAAATCATTTCTTTTCAAGAAAGTATAGAATCACTTGCATAATTTTAAGCACAGCCTTAAGTCCCAGTGAAAGTCAGTGAGACATAACACAAGTGTCTTCCTTAACTGGGGCGTGTCACAAGCTTACTGGCCCTTAAGGCTTCCAGTCTGTGACAGGTCAGTGATTAGGTCCTGCTGGGGAAAAACTAGGGATGCTCATGAGGAGCTGAGTGAGGAGGAATTGGGTTGTTCTCCCTCACTGAGAAGCGGCCATGAAAGCTGGCTGAGAAGGAAAAAGGAGGGGAAAAGGACACAAGGTGAGCAGGAAGCTTGTTGGGGGAGGGGCGGAGAGGAGACCCTGAACAGCAGCCGCAGCAGCCTGTCTAACCCGCTGAGTCAGAGGAGGAGGGTGCTAGCCCCTGGGCAGTGGGTTGTTTAAGGCACAGAAAATGGGACTAGGCATGGGAACAAACCAGAGCAGTCATGGCCTGCCTGTGAGGAAGAGGCTGCCTGCTGAGCTCAGTGGGGCTGAAAATTCAATTATTTTCAGTATTCCTGTTGGAATACTGGACTCCGTGGCCCTGGAAGGTGTAGACTTTGAAGTGATAAGGCCACAGACCCAGGTAGCCAAAGGACAGTAGGAGAAACTGAGGCAAAAGTTGCTACAATGCTAGAGCCTGTCAGGAGGCAGTGTAATGGAGCAGCAACTTTGCTACAGAGCCAAAAACTTGTGGCAGAAGCAAACAATCAGGAATGCTGCTAGCATCTCTGGTGATACATCAGGAATGGGAGGCAACCAGGCCCGTCGACAGCGGGGAGCAAAGAGGGCAATTGCCTTAGGGCCCAGCAAGTCTAAAGGGCCCAGGTCTCCTGGCCGCTATCGCCATTAGAGCCCCAGGCCCTTTACAATCGCGATAGAAATAACACACAGTAGGGGCAGATGACTGTTTTGCGGGGCCCTGGGCAGCATAACTCCACAGGGCCCCCTTTGCCACGGCGCATGCGCGGGGCTTTTTTAAGCGCGGGGCCCGGGATGGCCGCCCTGTTCGCCCTGTCCTATATCTGCCCCTGCCACACACTGCATTGCAGAGTCCTGCACTATGCACTCCCCTTTTTAAGCGCGGGGCCCGGGATGGCCGCCCTGTTCGCCCTGTCCTATATCTGCCCCTGCCACACAGTGCTCTGCAGAGTCCTGCACTATGCACTCCAGCCAGCTCTGAGGTCTAGCTGGGGACGGGAGTTGGCTTTCTGTCCGAGGCCCCACCCCTTCCAGGTCCACAGAGCTGGCCCTCCCCCAGAGCCTGGGCAATCTTGTAATCTCTCCTAAAGGTAACACACTAAAAGCTCAGTTTGGAGCTACTTTATGCATCCACACAGGGCAGTAAAGGGCCATAATCTATCTTTTTACTAGACTGTACAGGCTACCTGCATTGCTAATCTTTGTACAAGAGAGAGAGCAGTTACAACAGGGCCATTAACTACTCCATCTCCTGGGCAGGAGAGTAGGAAATAGGTGAAGACCTGGTTCAACCTCTCATAGGCACCAAATAGTGCAACTAAGCTGACATAAATTATGAAGATATGTATAAACTTTCAGATCAAATAAAAGGACCCAACATCATACTCTACATGGCTTTCACTGGGAACTGCACAGTGAAAAGACCATTGCAATTTCTTTTCACTTATGCCTTATCTACAAGTAAAAATATCATATTTAATTACAGTTTTGAAACTCATATTTCCAATATAACACATATAGGAAACACTGTTGGTGAAATGTAGAACTACAACTTTTTTTTTACCAAAGCAAATGTAGAGATTGCTGGTGCCACCTGTTGGTGAAAATAGTACAGCAAATGATTCTCATTTGCATAATCTTAAAGAAAAATACAATAGAAAAATAAATGAGTGATCCTACAAAGTGTAGAGCACTTTGGCTTTGATCCAAAAAGCACTTAAACATCTGCTTAACTTGAGACATGGGTTGTCCTACTGAAGTCAATGGGGCCAGTTATACACTGCAAGTTAAGCATGTGTATAAGAACTTGGTAATTGACAATAATTGTCCATCATCTTCCAGGAGTGCATCCTTCAATAGTAGTTTGTATTCTATTATGTCAATTATTTTTAGTTAAGATTCTGTTAGTCTTCATGAGTTAGGCCCAGTTTTGGCAAAATGAGGCAGTGTTCAAACTATTAATAAAAATAGGTTGGAAAGGAGACTTTGAATACAAAAGATTAGCTGAGTTTTAATATCACATGAGTCTTTATGTTATGTTTTATACTGCTAATGTACAGTGAGGTAAGCTCTTGGCAGGTGTGGATTTATGACATTTCTATCCACTAAAGTATTAGAAGGTAAATTTGCCTTTGTTCTTTTAGAATTCAAAATATCCTGAAAACATTTCTGCAGATTATCCCTTGGGAACTTCAAGAAGAAAGGGGAGCTCATCTATTATAACTTGAATTTAAAAGAGAAGCCTTACAGAGTATGTATGTAGAGTATGCTTGCTTTTATTTGCTATTTCCTGTGGACATTACATGCATGATTAGATGTGTATAATATACACTAAAGCTACATTACAGTGCAGGCTTTTTGCGCAAGAACTGTTTTGCACAAGAGTGCTTGCACAAAATGTCTTGCGCATGAGCGCATACACACTGCCACGTGCTTTTGCGCAAGAGATGTGCATTTGTGCAAGAGCGCCCATGGCAGTGTGGATGTTCTCTTGGGCAAGAAAGTTCTGATGGCCATTTTATCCATTTTCCACTTGTGGAAGAAACCCCTGTTGCCCATCCACACTGCCTTCTTGTGCAAGAGCTCTTGCACAAGAGGGCTTATTCCTCGTGGGGAGAGGAATAACTCTTGTGCAAGAAGCCCTCTTTTCCGACACTTTACTGTAAATGTACTTGTGCAAGAATGCACATACATTGTAGACGCTCCACAAGTTTTTGCGCAAGAACAGCCATTCTTTCACAAAAAGCCTGCAGCGTAGACATAGCCTAATAGTTTGTCTATTAGCTCTGCATGTAACTGTAAGGTAAAAATGCAGAAAGTCCCACTTATGGCATGTTTCACATAAGAAACTACATTTTTGCCAGATACGTTACAATCTAAAAGTGATTAAAAATCATACAAATTGCTGATTTCTCTACTGTAATTACAAGCTTTTTAACTTACTGTAAAGAAAGAAGTTATTCTGATCATTGTAGTCTTGAGGGGGCAGGGAGAGAACAAGTAAAGAAGCTGTCCTACCTTGCTTTGGAATGATTTTGTCTACAAGGATGCCATATCCACGTAACTGTAGGCTGAGGAATACCATAAACGGTGCAAGTCAGCACTTGCTTGCTGCCCACTAGGTAGAGATTGGGATCAGGAAATGTTGACACTGCTTTTTCATAGATCTGGGGTTTCACTGCAAAATGCACAAATAGAACAAAAGTCAGAAGGAGCTGAGTTTCTACTGCCCTCTGTCAACATAAACGTAAAATCATCCTGCACAGTGGGAAGTTAGGAAGCCATCCCGCTTAGGAACTGAAATAACAGAAATGGGGGAAAGTACTTAAACATTTGTAATACCTATGCATCTCACTGTAACGTGGAAAAATTTAATGAGAAACGTAGATCCCGACCTGATATAAATCAGTGTAGTTTCATTAACTTCACAGTAGCTCTGCCAATCTACACCAGGAGCTTGATCTAACTTCCAACAAGTATATGGGAAAGTTTCTCATTGACTTGATTCATCTTGGATCAAGCCTTAACTGACAATCTGGCCATTCAATATGTTTAATAACTAAACAGATACTATACTGTAAACTCACCATTTACAATGAGTGTGACTGTTAGGTTCTTATACAAGTTCCACTGTCGTATACTCAGTGTTATAGTATAATTCCCCGCATCCTCTTCAGCAACATCTCTGATGATTAATGAATAGTCTTTAGCCACATAGCGGGCACACTTTTCAGCAGCGGGTAACCCATCTTTTAACCTGTTAAAAGAACATTATAACATAGTATTATGAAACTGGTGCTATTCAGAGTAATGGTACACTAGAATGTGAACATCCTCATGCTGAAATGTTTTCAGCTATGTTCATCCATGGCAGGCCAAGCTTTCACTTCAATGGTCAGACGAAATCACATGGAAAAGAGCATTTTGAGAAATAATGTTGCTTAAATATCCTATGTTCCTCCATGATGTGTGTCTTCTCTTGACTAGGCTTAAGTATCTGTTTAATGTCTGATGCATGCTTTATTAGCAGCATGTTCATCATTGAAGGGATCAGGTCTCTATAGAACTAGGCCTGACTCTATAAGGGTATTTTGGCATTGCTGCCTTCAGCATCAGAATGCCAAACTGAGCCAAAATCCCATGTACAAAAGGGACTTAGGCACTTCCAGTGACAAATGGACTTTAGACTCAAAATGACCTAAAGCTCATTTTCAAAGGGGACTTAGGCTCTTGAATCAGTCCAGCATTGTGACACTCAGCACAGCACCACCTACATTGTTTTATTTAAAAGGTGCTCCTTTGTAAAATATTTACAATGGACTTTGACAATGAGAACTTTATGTGTTAATAGTAATATGATCTAACAGGCCTCTACAATATTTAACTGTTAAGATCTGTTTTTAACAAGTATGTTTGTGTGGAAAATTGGTTCTTTGTGTCTTAACAGTCCAAGCTCCTCAGTTGCTTATACCATAAGGATGAATCCTTCACTCCCACACCCACATAGATATTCCAGTGAAATCAATGAGACCACTCATAGGAATAACCCTTACTCATAAAAGTAAAGTCTTCATGACCCAGTCCCAAACCCCTTTTATAATGACATCATAAAACTTTCCTGAATAAAGAGTTGTGATATCACATGCATGACCATAATTTCAGATGGGAAAAGAGCAACTGGTTTATTAAATTTCAAGAACCAGTTATTGAGTTCATGCAGATATTGTTAAAAACTCAAGAAAATACTGCATATATGTAGTTATTTCTAAATGGAATATTGTTTTCAAAATATTATAGTTGGCACCAACGGTGCTTCCGTAGCTTGATGTAGTAAGACTGATGTATTATCAATAGAGTACAAATAACTTTTCTATAATGGTGACTTAGTTCACTAAATTGTTGGACAAACTATTATGCTGTTATGTTCTAAGAAACATTTAGAGTAAGGTCTTGTAGTCTTTACATGGGTAAGGGCAATCTTATCTATTTAGTAACCCTAGATTTAGTTTTCAGTATCCGTCTGCATTTCAGAAGCTTTGTTTCTACATGGACAGTCAAGAAATCAGATCACTAAATATAAATAAAAGGATTTAATAACAGCTTGTAGCAGTTTCATATATGTATTAATTTTCCATTTGGAGCAGCAAATGAAAAAAAACCACAATGTTTGAAGTAAAAATAAATACTGGCTAAGAATACAGTGAACTCATGCTGTTCATGTACTTATGGATTGTTTTCCTAATCAGTCTTGCCACACACCCTTTGTTACAGTGTAATGAATCAAGCCAAAGCTATTGCCATTTAAAATTATTTAAGCAAAAATAATGGTGATCTTGAACAGATAACATTGTTTGATATAAAGGTGCTTGGTTTAATTAAAAAAAAACTTCTTAAAAGATTTCTTAATATAGTGCATTTGAGAAAAAAAAACACACGTCAAGTCACCAAATCTGTTATAGAAACTGTAGGCCACTACAAAATTTAGCCAACTTCTAGCAATACTTTACAAGGCTGATTCTTGCAACCCAGTCATTAGTTTCAACTGACATTTTTATTTTATTCCAATAGTCTCATTGGCTGATATGAGTAAAGACTGTCTTGTGTTCCAGAGAGGTGTCAAGACAGCTGGATTCTAGCCCCACATCAGCCACAGATTTTCAATGGGACTACTCGTGTTCTTGAAGTTAAGTACATGCTCAAGTGCTTTGCTGGATAAGGGCCTAATTAATTAATATTTGTGAGTACTCTGAAATCCTCTGATGTGCAATAAAAGTAGTAATATTATAATCATTTCCATATCAGGGTACCTTGCTTCAACATTTTACCAGAAAGTCAAATCATTAAACATTAGCAAAGATGTTATTTTCCCACCCAAGAGTTCCTTTATCTATGTGGAAGTAACTGTAATCCTACCATACAACCTCTGGTGAGGGAAATGCCTTCACTTTCATTGACAGCCGATAGGATTTTCTGCCAGCTACAGTTTCAAGCACACTTTTTCTTCGGTGTTTCAAAGTAATGAATGTTTTATCTTAAAAAGACAAAATATAGGGTAGTTAAGAGATGGATGCTCAATCAGGCATTATACTTATTACAGACAATACAACATATGTTATCATGATCTTTTACAAGAAGGTGCCTAACAGGGATCGCTGATCATTTGGGCATCCATGGATTTTGGGGTCTGAGTTATCGGATTTTCAGTGACCTATTTAGCCGTTGCAAAACCTAATAGATCAGTACAAACATTCAGAAATTTGAGATTTGGCCCATGGCCTATAAACTTAGCTATACATTACAAAGGACATTTTTCCAAAGGAAGGAATATTCTATTTATCTTCATCAGAGACATAACTCCACAAAAAGAAACAAAAAAATTCTTCATAACCCCATTAGAAGCATGTCCAACCAATTCACTCTGTATAACTACATTACTAGATATTGTCCCATCTTTCAATCTTTATAATGATGTGTTTGCCTAGCAAAGTAATGTATGGAGTATTCCTTACATTTCTTCTAAAAACTCTAAAGTGTGGAACAAAGGAAAACATATGACGGATCAATGGGTTATAGACATCCTTTGAAAGTGCAGACAGGTCTATACTTAACTATGTTTTGAGTATCAAGGATAAGATTAAGAATGATGCACGCAAGTCACAATTCAGTGTTTTAGTATCATCAGCCAGATTTTACCTAGACTTCAAGAAGGATATTTGTTCAAACAAACCTTTGAAGATTGGGCCCAAAGTGCTGATTCCCCCCTTTTTTTCTGGTTCCTTTACAATGTACATTTCTATACCATCCTTCTCAACAGTGTCAGGAATGAATGTTTTGCAGCCATAAAAACTGAGTTTCAAACAAATCTCCAGAACGTAAATGTAAAAAAGAGTTTCAGCTTCTTTGATTAAAAACCTACTTTTGAACTGAGAAACCTTGTAGTTGAAAGCTCAGATCCTGAGGGTTTCAGACTGACTTATTCTAATTTATAAAAACTCAACTAAATTTGCTCTGGATAAGGATATTTCGTGATTAAAAACAGACAGTAATCCCCATGAGCAGGGCTCGACAAATCCATTTATCTACTCGCCCATGGTGAGTAGATTTCAGCTGGTCGCCCTGTTCACCGGCGGTGCACGCATGCGCAGTGCGGGTCTGGCGAGTGGATTTTGCCGAGGTTTGTCGAGCCCTGCCCATGAGTATAACCATCTGGACCTTCAGCACTTGCCCTCCTCTACAACATGAGAAGAGAGAGAGAGAGAAAAAAGATGGGCTTTGCCTCATGCCCAGAACAAAACTAGGTTCTGGCCAATAAGCATGGGCGGGGGCTAGAAGAGGCAAGATGAGGCAACGCTTCCTTGGGTCTTAGTGCTCAGCCTCTCCCCTCCCTATTCTGACCCTTCCCGTAGGCTCCCACAGCAACTGTGGCAGCTTGGTGAGTCTTCCTCAGGAGGGGAACTAGAAACTTAAAAGTAAAAAGCCTTCCAGCTTGTCTGACTTTTTAGCGTAACACTAAACCTGTGAAAGAGCCAGTAAGTGGCAATAAAGCCATTTAACAAGTATGTGCCAAACCGGTGATATATAATGTCAGTTGATTTATTTAGTGAGCCACATATGTATACAGGACCTTAGTTTCATATTTGCTCTAAATATTTCATTAGTTTGTTGGTGAAGATTATAAAATTGCATCTTTAACAAAATCCTTGCATTGATTTACAGATACACAATCTGAGAATTCAGATTTAGCCTTAAAGACATATAGTTTTTTTAATTCTTCAAAAGACCTCCCTTACCTAAAATACACATTTTCATTTTCATTTATATTGTACAAAAACCTTGTTTCCAAAGTTTTCCTGTCTTTCTGTCCATTCCTTCTCTAATCTTTTTTCCTCACCCCCCTGTTGAAGAGAGCCCTTAAACATCCTATATCTTCCAGATAGCTGGACAAATGAGTTTTTCTTTCTTCACTTCACACTATATAATGAACTAGTTTTAAGAGAATCCTCCACCAAAATCAGTACCTTTGTTATGCCTAAAATCTTTGGAAACATTTTTAACATATGGTGAAATTTCATAAACATGTCTATTGTTATGAAGATCATACAAAATAAATTAATGTTCCCTTTTTCTAAAAGCAATGAACATTATTATGAACATACTAAACTGCTCTGACTGGTTAATTTAAAATGTCTTTGTTTCAGTGCATTAAATATATAGTAATCAGCAATGATTACTATGAAGCTTTAAGAGTACATTTAAATGATAATATTTGTTTAAAAATGTTGATTAAGAAAATGCAAAATAGAAGAGCTGCATCACATACTCCATAATGTTCAATGTTGTATACAGCAGGACAGTTGACTTGCCCTTACTACAAAATTTTGGAAATAAATCTCTGACAAACTTCAGGATATATCAAAAAATCTGTGATTGACATTTTTTTATTCCCAAATTTAGAACTTTTAATTAGGTATCTTCTGCATGGCCAGTCTTCACAATCTGACATGCAGTGGAAAACATATTCCATTTTCTTTAGAAGGAAATGTTAGAGGATTTTTTTTGAACGTCATTTACTACATTTGGGTTCAGGGATTTGGCTGGAAGGGGTGAGCAGGGAAAGGGAGAGAAGAGAAGGAGACAGGAAGGAGGCAGGGCTTGGGCAGTGTAGGCTTGGGGTGGGAATGGGCAGAACAGGGGTGGAGTACGGGGGGGGGAGCCACAGATTGGGAGCTTTCCTCCACAAGCAATAGCTTCACCCACTGCCCATATCAATAAGGGATGTGAGTTTTAATCCAAGAAAACATCTTAGAGAATAGCCTGCCAGCATCCCCCTTTCATTTAGCATCAAGGCAGGGAGCTCCAAACATTGTCTGACCTCAGCAGGAGCAGTATATATCATGGTGGAAACAGTGATCTCTCAGGTAAGCAGTTCCCAAACCATCCAGAGCACCCTTGGTTAAAACAACATGCTGATTTCCAGCTGGAAGCCAGTGCAGCTGGTTTAATGCCCTCAGGCTGAACCCCCTTTTCATAAGGAGTTGCAATAGCCTGAACTTGCTTCAGCATTTGAATTGTCCCAAGGTGTAGTTCCATATAGAGTGCATCACATCAATCTACATTCCATGTGTGGATGGTAAGGAATGAACTGTGTATGCAGGTAGAGATGTAGTTCTCCTAAGCATACAAAGAACTGCCAAGAGCCAAAAACAGTATTGTGGGCTAATTGGTTTGCATACCATTGGTCACAGGTAACAAAAGCAGACAAGAAGCATTGGGGTTCTTCCATTTGAATTAAGATTTGTTTCTTGTTTGGGAGTCTTTATGGTACAGTATTGACCAATGAAGAATTTTCTTACATATTGCAAACAAAAGTGATCATATTAGTGATTAGAGTAAGCTATCTACTGCCAATTAAATAAAACAGTATCTTCGACCAAATGGAACATATTGGCTACGTCTACATTGGCACCCCTTCCGGAAAAGGGATGCAAATGTAGCACGTTGGAATAGGCAAATCCGCAGGGGATTTAAATATCCCCCGCGGCATTTGCATTTTCATGGCTGCCGCTTTTTTCCAGCTTGTAGATAAGCTGGAGAAAAGCGCCAGTCTGGACGCGATCCTCCGGAAAATAAGCTCTTTTCCAGAGGATCTCTTATTCGTACTTGAAAGAGATCCTCCGGAATAAGAGATCCTCCGGAAAAGAGCTTATTTTCCGGAGGATCACGTCCAGACTGGCGCTTTTCTCCAGCTTATCTACAAGCCGGAAAAAAGCGGCAGCCATGAAAATGCAAATGCCGTGGGGGATATTTAAATCCCCCGCGGATTTGCCTATTCCAACGTGCTACATTTGCATCACTTTTCTGGAAGGGGTGCCAATGTAGACGTAGCCATTCTGTTTCCATGCTATTTTCTCTTCCTATGGCCGGCTTGCCAAAACCTCCATTTTGTGCTTGTGTACAAAAGGTTTCTAACCATTGATTAGCCTTGAACACAGAATGTGAGCATGAAACATTCTACACATGCACACTATCTATTACCGTAAACGTGGACTGTTGTGTTAACAGACTTGATTGATGGTCCACTCTTCACATGGCAGGTATACTGGCCTTTATCAATATCACGCACTTTGCCAACAACAAGAATACTGTAGAAAATATTGGCATCTGTATTCCTTTGGCGCATGCGGTTTGTTATAGATGCTCTGCGGTCTGCCTAGAAAGCAAGAAGTGCAAATCAAATATATTATTAATAATTATTAATCATATAATTTGATGGCAGGGCCATAGAATCCCCAAAATGACACAATAATCTCATCCTTTGGCACTCCCCACAGAATCTCTGCTCTGGTGCTAACAGTAGTGCGGAGCTCAGTGTGAGAGTTGCCACTGGGACTCACTGCACATGGGCAGATTTCCCTGGCTCCAGTGCAATGGGGCAGGGAAGGACTAGCAAGCCCAACTGCCCATTTAACTCTCCTTTATCCTCACTCTGCAAGAAAGAGGGGCTTGGAGAGGAGTGGGAGAGCTAAATCGAACAAGATGATCTGATTGATATTCACTATGTTCCAGACCTACTGGAACAGAGGTGTGCTGTTTGGCTTTGCATTCACAATAAATGCAGGTCTTAGCTAGCCATGCTTGTTGTGTAGCTATCATGGCAGAACTAAATCCTAAGGAGGTTGTGGATTTGGGGTCCCACAATTCAGAGGGAAACCAGTCCTCTGCTCTGCATGAGTGAACCAGAATGACATTTCCCCATATAGGCTGTGTCCAGACTCAGGGTTTTTTTCGAAAAAAGTAGCCTTTTTTCGAAAAAACTTCCCCTGCGTCCAGACTCAAGCCGCGTTCTTTCAAAATTAATTCGAAAGAACGCGGCTTTTCTTTCAATGGCGGTAAACCTCAATTTACGAGGAAGAACGCCTTCTTTCGAAAGTTCCTCTTTCGAAAGAAGGCATTCTTCAGTGTAAATAGGGCTTCTTCGAAAGAGAGCATCCAGACTCACTGGATGCTTTCTTTCGAAAAAGCAAGTCCTGTCTTTGGGGATTGGACTCTATGGCTATGTCTAGACTGCAAGCCTCTTTCGAAAGAGGCTCTTTCGAAAGAGCCTCTTTCGAAAGAGGCTTGCAGTCTAGACATAGCCATAGAGTCCAATCCCCAAAGACAGGAAATGCCCCTGGAAAGGCTCATGTATTAACCCTGTGCACCTTCCAACCCTGAATTTAACACTTAATCCAGGTATTCAACGCTCCGGTATTGCATTTACCACTTCTGTAGGTGGCTACATAGTGACTTCCCAACTTTCAATACTGACAACTGTAAGGCTCAGAGAAGGGGAGTGGGTGGAAATGGGATCTAAGATATGGGCAGAGGTTGAGTTGTGTGGCACCTAGGAAATGAAGCTGAAGAACGAGAATGCTGTTGACAAGATAGATGATGAAGAAGTCCCAGGAAAGGGTTGAAGCAACAGGAGAGGAAGATTATGTTAGATACAGCATGCTGAATAAAATGGAGAAGATGTAGGAGGTCAGAGAGGAGCAGATTTACAGTAGATAAGGTGTGTGCCAGCGTGTCAGTAGTGGGAATTGAGAATTCTGGAAACATTACACAGAGAGAAATGGCAAGATTTGGCAAGAGACTAGGGTGGAGCAGAAGATAAACTGAAGCTGCGGAGTTATTTCCTGTAATTCCTCCTCTGCATTTGGCCTCAGCTTTTATTTAACTCAGAACATTATTATTGTCTGGCAAAACAGTGAGTGCTCTAGCATCTAAATGAAAACAAACCACTACTTCATAGTGCAAAGTGTGATTGTAAGCAGTAGCTGGCAAGGCAACAGGGTGCCACTCGAACATGCTCAGAGTCTTGTTTGTTGCTAAGTTATTTATTTCGGAGATGAAAAAAATGCTAATCAAAGCAATTACAGTACACTAGAAGCTGACATGGTAATCATTCTTACATAGTGTAATCATAATTTCAGGTTGTGATTAGGCACAATGACTGACATAATAAATGATCATGACTTGAAGCTACAGTATAAATCAAACTGACATGAAAGGACTGAGAGCTGTAAACTTTAAACGAATGTCAAATTTCTTATCAGCTTAACACGGACTCCTTGGCAGTTGTTTTGTAAATGACAAGTATTTATGAGGATGCTCCCAATCTAGGAGGTGGAGGGAGAGGGGAAATACATTCAAGATCATTCTTGTAGTTGTCAAAACAAGAGAATTGTTCATGTGACACTTAACAAATGAGATCTTGGCTAGCTGAATTGTAATATCTTTTCTAAACATGCTTGAGTCGGGTGCCTGACTGTCTGCCAGTCCTTTACATGAATGGCCTTAGAAAGATGGTTTAACTGAAAAGTTTTCTGTTACAAAAGAGAACTTGGCACAGGATGATAAATTTCTGTTACTTCACTGAACCCAAGAAGATGTTCCCAAGGATGAAACAATTCTATTGTTCACTCCTGATTATGCAATATACTACACTGTGTTTTGTAAACATGTTTACTTATTCAATTAAACAAAATAATAATTGTAAAAACCAATAAAAGACATGTCAGTGAGGGTCATGACAATGGAATTCCAAGTATGGCAATCATTTCAGACAAAAATTCCTGTTAGGATTGCTTCTTAATGGGATGCTGTTTTAGAAAATAACTAGCATTTCTACATGCAAACCAAATAACTCACCTCACCAGGGTAACTCCATGTCATCTGAACTCTTGTGTTCCAGTCTGCAGCAACTGTACAGTTAATGGCAAGCATGTCTCCTTTCAGCAATTTGACTAGATTCGGGGTGTTTAACTGGACATCGTATATTGTGTTGCCTGTAAATCACAAACAAAACATGAGTAGCATTACACCAACATAATGCCATGTGATTAAGCACGAGATAGGTGAATGCTACTCACTTTGTCGGTGTGTTAGGTATTTCGTACTATACTTATGCCCATCAATGGTTGTCTCACAGCTCATGAGACCTATGAACTGGTATGTTGCCTTTGGTATTATAAAGCCTTTCGTGCTATCCCAAATTATTGTCTTTCCATCAGGAATGAGAGTTTCTAGTGGAATCTGAAAATGAAGAACATGTTTTATAAACTAATCCATTTTTATTTCCACAGAGCGCGCGCGCACACACACACACACACACACCAAAATATGTCCTTTGGAGGCCTAATAAAAAAGAATTTAAAAAACAAATTAAAAAAAAAGCCAGTCAACAAGTCACAAATGGTGATGTTTAATTAGGCATATTTTCAAGTCCATTTTTATGTTAAATTCAGAAAACCTAGGTGCAGAATGTGAAGGTTCATTGTTTTCATCATTACACTAGTTATTATAGGTTGTAAATTAATATACAGAAGATTAACACTAGCATTAGCTTGGCCTTAGGAGCTTAGTATGCAATGCTATTGGCTTTCAGTGGCAGCCAAAATGCCTGTCTCAGACAGACTTTGTAATTAACTATCCTGGTGTGGCTATTGAAAAACAAATACGCATTTTCCCCCACAGCTGACAGATCAACTTCTTTTGCTGTCATTTGGTGCCTTTAACAAATGCCAGCTCAGATTCAATTTAATGAGTTTCTTAATTTCTATTATCTTCCATGGGCACTGGACTATTTCAGCAAAAAGTGTGAATAAGATGTGCACATGTTCCCAGACTGACACATCATACTGTACATACTTCTCATAACTATCACAGAACACAACCTGTGAATCGTAAGGCTGCAGAGTTTCCTCAAGCATGCTAATTGTAATTCTTACTGGAAAATGAAGAAAGCCACCGGCTATTGTGGGCTTAGTTTTTCAGAAGTGATTAGTGATTTTTGGTACCCAAACTAAGTCATATTAATTGGGCCTTATCTTTAGCACTGAAAATCGGGCATCCTTAATGAGTATCCAAAAACTGAAGAGCCCAAAATCATCAGTCATCTCTCAAACTTTAGGCACAAAAGTACAGTTCAGCCTCCGCACATGAGATTTACAGTTTGGAAATAATCAAATGCTCTGTCAGTGGCAGCAGTTAATATTTTAATGGGTAGCGGGTTTAAAAGTAATAAAAGAAAGTTCTTCTTCATACGGCGTGTAGTCAACCTGTGGAACTCCTTGCCAGAGGAGGCTGTGAAGGCTAGGACTATAACAGAGTTTAAAGAGAAGCTAGATAATTTCATGGAGGTTAGGTCCATAAAAAGCTATTAGCTAGGGGATAGAAATGGTGTCCTTGGCCTCTGTTTGTCAGAGGCTGGAGAAGGATGGCAGGAGACAAATCGCTTGATCATTGTCTTCAGTCCACCCTCTCTGGGGCACCTGGTGCTGGCCACTGTCAGCAGACAGGCTACTGGGCTAGATGGACCTTTGGTCTGAGCCAGTACGGCCGTTCTTATGTTATGTTCTTATGTTCTTATGATCACCTTCTGAATTTTAAATCCATTTTGATACAACAAAAACCTGCAAAGGCAAAATATTATATCAGCACTGTGGTTCACGCAAAAACATGTTAAGAATTCTTGTGTTCTCATCCTCCTATGTATACTTTTCATTATGTAGCATCTGGAACATCATCATTAGACAATTACTTATTTCCTAACATCCTCTGACCTTCAAACCCATTGATGGTTTTGGTTCTTAGAGCAAAAATCCCCCTTCTCAAAACACAGTAATGGGCAAAAGGCTTGGAATACACAAATTCACATTTTTTGACACGTTTGAAAGAAGAACTGCACATTTTTAAGATTACTCATAGCTGAGCTTTGAAAGAAAGGAATGGTTGTACCCTTCCCCTCCCCAAGTCAACAAAGCACCTCCCACTGCCACTTCTTTCTGCCCCCTGCTGCTGCATCCCTTCCACCTCTTTCCTCTCCCCTTGCTTGATCAGAGAGCTCATCTCCAGGCCAGCCCTAGTCCTCCCCCAGCCAAAGCCTTAAGGATGGATGCCCAGAGTGTGGGGGCTTGTGACTAGTTGGCTTCTTCCTGCACAGAACACCTTCCCTTTGAAAGGATACTGAGTATTCAGCACAGGCCTAAAGCTGTCCTCAGGATCCCCTTCACTCATCTCCTGCCATTTCCTTTGACAGACATGAATGATGAAAAAAGGAACAATAATTACAGCTAGCACAAAAGTGCTGCACTAGAATAGAATTCCTTATCTTTACAACATCTGATAAGAAGCTATAATAAGCATGCAAATCATGGGATGTATGTGTTACACCCATAAGCACAGTCCATTACTTTATAGCCTGCTGGCTGACACTCAGCAGTGACTTATATTCTAGGGATGGCGCTATTGTAGTTACTGTTTCTACATACAAACAGTATGATTAACCAGTTCACTGCTCTATTTCCAAGCCACCCAGCTGGGTTTCCCCCTGCTGGCTCAGGGGAGGTGCAGGTTGTCCTTATTGTTTCACTGCTTCATTCCCCCAGGTGTCCTGCTGAGACATTAAGAGGAGGATTCAATTTGCAGTCACAGGCTCCACAGGAGCCCCACAAGCAGATGCTGCCCACCGTGTGTGGAGAGGAATTCCTGCTCGTTAATCAGTCTGTTAATAAATTTGCATTAGCCTAGCTTTGGTGCTTAGAGTGTTGTTCATCTAGCCTTAATACTTAGCACATGCTTCCCTTTAGCTAAAAAAGCTTGTAACACTGGATCTCCCTAGGAGTGGTGCAGGTCGAGGGAGAAAATCTAAATTACTAGAACAAACATTTGCAAACTTAATCTCATTTTTGTGAGACCCAGTATAGTTTGGGACTCCTCGGGCTCCAGGAATCCAGCCATCTCTAATGCAAACCCATGCACAATTTGCTAGTCTGGCACCTCTCAGGAATGGTGAGAGCTACATAAGCAGCTTGGAGGCTCTTTAAAAAAATAAAATAAAAACTATGTGTGGGCTAGGGATGTAAAGGACTAGTCGACTATCCGATAAGCATTTTCTTATCAGATAATCTGTCTACTAGTCAACTAGTCAATCCCCACCCTGGCTGCCTCTATGAGATAGAGGCAGCAAAGGGGGGAATGGGTACTTCAAAGGGGCAGCTGCAGCACAGCTGATCCGCAGCTCAGCTCTGCAGCGCTGCCCCTTTAAAGCGCTGTGGAGCCCAGGGTCACCTGGGGAGTTCCCAGCTGATCCTGGGTTCCGAGCGGCATTTCCCCAGAACCCGGGGTCAGCTGGGGATTTCCTAGCTAACCCCGGGTTCCCAGGAAAATACTGCACGGAACCCGGAGTCAGCTGGGGAGTCCCCAGCTGACCCCAGGCTATATGCGGCATGCAGCGCAGCATGGAGCCCGGGGTCAGCGTGGGACTCTGAATCCCCCACTGACCCTGGGCTCCATGACTTTGAAATGCATAAGAGCCCCCTTTGGAGACTCTTGGGGTATGTCTACACTGCCGCCCTAGTTCAAACTAGGGTGGCTAATGTAGGCATTCAAACTTGCAAATGAAGCCCAGGATTTAAATATCCTGGGCTTTACTTGCATGTTCCCGGGCGGGCACCACTTTTAAATGCCTGTAGTTCGAACTACCTGCCCGCGGCTACACTCTGCACAGACTAGGTAGTTCAAATTAAAGCTCCTAATTTGAACTACTGTTATTCCTCCTGCAAGGAGGTTTAATGGTAGTTCGAATTAGGAGCTTTAATTTGAACTACCTAGTCTGTGCAGAGTGTAGCCGCGGGCAGGTAGTTCGAACTACAGGCATTTAAAAGTGGTGCCCGCCCGGGAACATGCAAGTAAAGCCCAGGATATTTAAATCCTGGGCTTCATTTGCAAGTTTGAATGCCTACATTAGCCACCCTAGTTTGAACTAGGGCGGCAGTGTAGACATACCCCAAGAGTCTCCAAAGGGGGCTCTTATGCATTTCAAAGTCATGGAGCCCAGGGTCAGTGGGGGATTCAGAGTCCCACGCTGACCCCGGGCTCCATGCTGCGCTGCATGCCGCATACATTGCAAAGCAGGCACCCGTCTGCAGCCTGGAGTCAGTGGGACTTCTGCATTAGGGGCTCTTGTACATTTCAAAGGAAAAATGCGGAAGTGCCTATCGACTAGTCAAGTATGGGCAGCATCAGATGCCATCAAGGATACATTAGACAACTAAAATCTATGACAAATGAAAGTTAAAAGCAGAGGGAGGACATGAAAGCAAAGCCTTCTGGGATCCTATATAGCAAAACTGGTCTGCTGTGGCTGAGTCAGATCAGAAACTGCCACTTGTGTGGATCAGCTTCCCTGAGGAGAGGAGAGCTGAGGTTTTCTTCCAGCTGGAAAGAACAAAACCAGGCCAGGTCCTCACCTGTAACGCCTTTCACAACTCTCCCCATCCCTGGGCATTTACTCTTGTATCTTACTGAGCCACGCTTGGTGCTCACTCCATTCCACCAATGCCACTCCCCTCTGTGACCTGCTTGCCTACTTCCCCTACCAGCGTCTCCGTGCAGCCCTGATGCACAGAGCCACTCTGACTGAGCCAATACTGTCTCCTCCTTCAAATCCCTCCATTTCTTCCAGGGTGCCTGCAGAAAACCACCAGAGACTAATTTTCAGAAAGAGTTGAGATGATCCAGAATTACTTGGTGGTTGTTATTTTATTTTACCATAGCACCTAGAAGCCCTAGTCATGGACTAGAATCCCATTGTGCTAGATGCTGTACAAACACAGAACAAAAAGACAGCTCCTGCCCCCAAAAAGCTTACTATGTAAATATTAAAGAGACAATAAAAGGAGTGAGACACGAGAGAGTACAAGAAAACATTGAGACAATATTGATCAGCTTAGCCTATGGTACTTATATCTCCCACATCACCATAGCAAATAAGTTACCCTAGTCACCCATTTTTCTTCTTGTTTCCATTTGTCAGTTTTCTGGGGCAGGCACTATCTTCATATGTATACAGCACTTAGTACAATAGATCCTGTCTGGGGACTTATGGGACCAGCACAATACAATAATGAAGGCCTGACAATGTAGTAAGATACATTTCCAATATGTTACCTTGCTGGTGTGGGAAAGGCATATGCTGTAGCTGCTGTAGTTTCCATTTGACCTTTCGCTAGAGGTCACTATATAAAGTTGGTGAGTCTGGCTACTAAGAATTAGACTAAAACCAAAACTAATTCCAAAAGTCATCGAACAAGGAGAAAAAGTCTTTCAGTCACTATAGACCTTGGCTGGATTTGAAGTAGTGACCCAGAAAAGAAGGGTTCCATCTTCCTTTGCCAATCCACTGTACTGTCTTAATCCCTGGCTGTAAGATTTTTTTGGATTTTCATTGTGCATTGATTGCCATCTTATGCAATATGCAAACATAGGCCCATACCCTTAGTTTGAAGTTATAGCAGCTATGCATTTCAAAACTCACATAAAGCTGTCATTATATCTGTACAACTGATATCGTTAGCTAACATCAGCTGTTTCACTGGCTAACTTCATCCATAGCACAAAACACGAATAATAAAATTTCCCCACACTGCATCATTGAAACTAAAAGGTAACAATACTAAAATAAACAAAATGTGAATGGCAGAGTCTTCCCACTACTTCAGGATTAGTCCACTTCAGAGGGACGAATCACTTCCCTAGGAAGTGTGAAATGTGACTGAGAACCGATTTTCTGAATTCTTTTTAGCACAGGATAGAGACCTAATGGCTCTATGCTGTTCTTCCAGCTACAGAAGTTCCGGAACAGGAATCCTGGCTTTTCACGTCATTACTAAATGGAACACTGAACAACTGCTTTGCCAGCATTATGACTGCAGTTGTGAAAAAAATGTCAGGCATCTCTTAATTGTTACATAATCAAAAAATATGTCTGGAGTCTATATCCACCTGTAAGGGTTTCATAGCATGACAAAACATCAAGTACATCATCTAAGCACCTGTACCTTACATATTCCAGGAAATGCTAATATGAACTAGGGAGGCACATTTCTTTTTCCTGGAATGCAAAAAGTATATGGAACCAGGTTCCTCCTCCCTTATTAACGGTGTTACATCTGACCTTCATGCCATAGAACCTCATGATCCTACATTACAAACTTCGGCTGTAAGCATAGTGGGCACGCCATGGCAGTGGAGCGGGGAGGGTATAAACCTTATCCATCAGAAAAGGAGGAATAGGAAAAACTTATTTATAAAAAGATCGTTGTCAGTCCCACCAACCTGGGGAGGCAAAGGGGGCAGTTGCCCTGGGGTCCAGCAATTCAAAGGAGTCCAGGGCTCGTAGCTGACGCTGCTGCTACAATAGCCTTGGGTGCTTTGAACTCACCACTGGGGCACCACGCTATGCACTCCAGGCAGCTCTAAGGGTTGTGGGGGGCAGTGTGGGATGCTCCAGGTGCACAGACTGCCCCTGGCCCCACCCCTTCCACCTGAGGCTCAGCCCCTTCTGAGAGTGCAGAGCCAGGCCTCCCTCACCTTGCCCTGGGGCCCACAGAGGCTATTGGTGCCCTTGCTCCTTGTAGGTAGAGGGTTTAAAGTTAAACTTCCTCAGTTAGGAATTAAATACAGTGAGATTTAAGATGGAACAAGGAAACATGTTTAACTCCTCTACTTCCAAAATCTAAAAAAATAGGTTTGCATTCCACAATATACACACTTCCGCCCAGGCCCCATTTATTCTTTGCTTCTACAACCATCTAATTTTCTACACAACCCTGCTCCACACATTGCCAAGGCATTGATTTCCAGAATAAAAAATATTTTAATCTAAAGAGATCACTTTTAGATTCAAGCAGTTTGTTTTCTCTGTATTTTTAGCTTCCTTTAATGTGATTTACCAGTTGGAAACAAGGAGGAAAGTTAACATGTCACTAGCTGGGTCTCCACAGACTACTACAATCAAGTGCCCCATGAACCACTGCACTCTGAAAACCTCTGACTTAAGTTAAAACACAAGGGTCCAATCTCAGCTGGTGTGAATCAGCCAAGACAATGGAACATTGAATTCAGTGGATCAATGTTGATTCTCACCAGCTGAAAATCTGGCCCCGTGTATCTTATTTGAACAGCTCGTCAGTTTTCTTGAGTTCTGTCTCACTATTTCCTGCTGTTTTACACAAAGAGTTGACCTTCTCTTTCCTGCAACAATACTATTCATCTATTTCTTCACATATGGAGCTCACTCCAGGCACAGATAAAGCATCACCCCCTTGACTTGTACAACTCTCCTGTTCTAGGAGCCATCGTCTGTATGTAAACTAAACAAGAATAACATTAGTAAAGAAACTCTTATCTTGTTGCCTGAAGATTTACTTCATGTACGTAATTCTGCTAACTTCTTTGGGAGCCATGTGCATACAGTTCTACGCATCAACGCACTTGTGCCATCATCCTCTGAAGACAATGGGAGTATCTTTATTGATTTCAGTGGTTGATTTCAGGCTTCAACATAAATCATGAGTGCCCCAGAATATGGAGTTAGTGAACATTTAACACAAGGTAACAAGTATTAATAATTTGCTCATTAAAACAGTTCAAGAGAAGCACACATTTATATCTGCAGTTATAGTTTCAGAAATATGCATGGATCAAGGTACCTTTCTTAATGTAACAGCAATGTCTGGTGCGGTGACTCTGCATGGAATGATCATCTCTCTTCCCTCAGTCATCTGTATAATTTCAGGTATGTCGCTGTGCAGCTGTACAAATGGACTGCCTGTATCTACAGAGAAGGATAAAAAGAAAAGGTAACTGCTAGAAACATTTAAAGCATAGAAAAATGCGGCCAATTTAACCAGATTATACTAACAGATTACCCAGTAACTAAAAAGAGCCTACTGATCTATTGTGGTAAATCTGAAGGGCCTAGAGAAAAGTCTTTCCTGAGTCCCTCTATCTCTTTAGAAATGGTTCTTTCTTTACTTCCAGACAGCTATAACAAAGTATCGGTCATTGCTCCCTAGCTATCAGTGTTGATAAATTTCTAAAATAGCTGTTGCATTCATTTTCATTATTTAGAGCCAGTAAAATATTTTTGCAGTGTTCAAAAAATATTTTTATCCATCATTAATAAACAACACACACCATTTTTTTACATTTTGCATCATCTTTAATATATATACACGTGATGTCAAGTAAGCATTTTTTTAAAATTATTGCAACTCATATATTAGAGGTTTGGAACAGGTCCCATATGAAGAGAGATTAAAGAGACTTGGACTTTTAAGCTTAGAAAAGAGGAGACAAAGGGGGGATATGATAGAGGTCTATAAAATCATGACTGGTGTGGAAAAAGTGAATAAGGAAAAGTTATGTATTTGTTCCCATAACACAAGAACTAGGGGTCACCAAATGAAATTAATAGGTAGCAGGTTTAAAACAAACAAAAGTAAGTTTTCCTTCATGCAATGCACAGTCAATCTGTAGAACTCCTTGCCAGAGGAGGTTGTGAAGACCAGGACTTTAACAGGATTCAAGAAAGAACTAGATAAATTCATGGAGGCTAGGTCCATCAGTGCTATTAGCCGGATGCGTAGGAATGCTGTCCCTAGCAACTGTTTGTCAGAGGCTGGAAATGGATGACAGGAGAGGGATCATTTGTTCATTCCCTCTGGGGCTTCTGGCATTGGCCACTGTTGGAAGACAGAATACTGGGCTACATGGACTTTTGGTCTGACCCAGTATGGCTGTTCTTATGTTCTTATATGGCTCAAATATAAATAAAATACCATATTTCTTTGTATTTTGGTTGGTTTATTTTTTATTGTCATTGAGACTAAGCTGGAATTCACCTATCAAAAAACATACCACTAAAGGCCTATTCCTGCTCTCCTTGAAGTCAATAGCAAAACCCACATTAGCTTCAATGAGGCTACACCTAGACTGCAGGCTTCTTTCGGAAGAAGCTTTTCTAGAAGAGATCTTGCAAAAAAACTTCTTCCAAAAGAGAGTGTCCATGCAGCAAAAGTGCATTGAAAAAGCGATCTGCTTTTTCTAAAGATAGTATCCACACTGATTGGATGCTATCTCACATTGAAGTTGTGATTACTATGGACAGAGTGGCCACGAGGGCACCTGTGCTTTTTCCTCTTCTTTCAAAAGAACTCCCTCTTCCCCGTCCACACACGCCTTTTTCCGAAAGAGCTCTTTCAGAAAAAGGCTTCTTCCTCATAGAAAGAGGTTTACCAATGTTGGAAAAAACCCTCCATTCTTTCAATTTTTTGTCGAAATAACATGATTGCAGTATGGACGTAAGTGAAGTTTTTTTGGAAAAACGGCAGTTTTCCAAAAAAAAACTCTGTAGTGTAGACATAGCCAAAAGACTAGGACTCGGATCCTAAATATGGTAATTAAGTCAGATATTCAAGTAGCTCTTAGAATATGGACTAGTAAGCATTAATCATTGCATTCCTTCCTACCAGCACAATATAGTTGTGTCTTTCTTGTAAGGGACAAGGTAAATGAAAACGAAATAAAAGTTTTCCTGACATTTAACTCAACAATTAAGACTTAACAGTATAATTTACTATCTCTTTAAGCAATCACTTCTAACAAAGGGTATTGGCATAAATAGTTCACACTGAAAACAGGGAACATTTCTATTGCTTTTGCAAATGTATTTTTGTTTGTGTTATTCAACAAAAGTGGGCAAAAGCCACAAACTCTGGATTCAAATCCTGTTTGCAAGTGGTCAGATCTGGGTTTTACACAGTGTAAAGAGAGAAACTATTTGCAAAATTCAAACCCCTACGTTTGGCTTTTTTCACACTTCCAAATGGTGGACTATTTGATTCCTAATATAAGACTAATTTCTAGTTCTGGTTCATTTTCAGTCAAATTATAATGTTTTCACTCAGTCAGAACCCTATGCACAGCAATAGTATTTTTCCCTGCCAATACATGGACATTTGTGAATGCTGAAAAGGAGAATCACTATCAAATCACCCCATCGGGAATCTCTGTACATTTCTACATGTTCAAGAAGCAGCTACTCTCTAAAGACATTACTTTTGCTTCTCTTTCACTCAAGAGTACGTGCATCATTTCACATAGTAATAAAATAAAGAAAATCACTTGAAATTGAAAGACTGGGTCACAGTCACATCTGTTGTGATTGCAAAAGGAACTCATGCATAGTAGAAACCTGAGTATGCAATAAAAATATTCCAAGACTTGTTAGTCTAACATTTCCTTTGCAATATGATTCAAGGAAAGACCAAGGCTATGCCTGCTTGTGCCATTGTAAAAGAAACATTTTTGTTTTGCAGGGGTTGCAGTTATGGAAGAGGTCACTAAACCTTTAACATCACCAGTGAAACAGACTTATTACTCCCCTAAGGCTTATTCATCCTTGTCACAAAATTAAGAGCTACTTTCCAAAAGCAGCAAACTTTGCAGAGTAGTTTCCTGTGTCAATCTCCAAATCGTTACAAGTGTGAGGAAGAGCTGCCCTGAAGACTACCGGTCCTGTCTCCAGACAAAGTGTCACCACTGACTGATGCCAACATTGCTCAAGTGGGAGCTGTACTGCCCTAACCTCACAGGACTCCCTGCCCAACGAGAGGCAGTGACAGGAAACCAGCACAAAATGTGAAGAACATTTTTTTGTCTTCCTTAATGGAAATGTGCAGGCTTCTATTCACACTTGGAGGAGACAGTCAAGCGTTGTGACAGAGCTAACACGGTTTCCTTGACTCCTCTGAATGCTATGGTTACATGTGAAGGTGGTTTTCCCCCTGTAAATCTGAAAGTACAATTACACACAAGAGCACTTAGACATAAAGAGCCAGCCACAGCTAGAGCTCGATTAGCGTGCACAATTCCCATTGACATCACTAGGGAGTTCCGCCATGGACTGAGGGCAGTATATGGCCCAAAGCCCTCCAAATGTCTTCCTGCTTTTGATTAAAAGGAATATGCATCATGTTTCCTAACAGAGTTTTGTTTTCATAATTAATGTGGAGGCTTTTCCTGAGCCCCTTTGATTTTATTCTCCTTCCTTCTTAATACTCATAAGGGGATATAGTCATTATTTCAGGACTAGCAGCTGGTGCTGGAGTAACAGTCAGAATCCTCCAATGAGACAAAACCTTTCTTCCCCAATTAATAAAACCTCCCGATTAATAAAACCTCCCCAATTAATAAAACCCATCCTAGTCCTTCCCTTCCACCCCTCAGCATATCTATTATGATCTATTGCTAGCGGCATCTGCCATATTTCCCTTCTGATTGCCAAAGATTAATCATTCCTTCCTGAGGCGATGTAACACAGAGGTGAATTAGGTCCTTGGTGTCTAAGTCTGACTTTCCTCCCCTATTCTTCTGGGCCATCTCCAATTATATTATTTCTCCACTTTTGGGACCTTATTCACTTTTACTCTAGTGTAATTTACTCTAGGGCTACGTCTAGACTGCAAGCCTCTTTTGAAAGAGGCTTTTTCGAAAGATACTTTTGAAAAAGCCTCTTTTGAAAAAGAGCGTCTAGACTGCAAGCAGTACTTTCGAAAAAGCAAGCACTCAAGCAGTCTGGATGCTCTTTTTCGAAAAAGCCCTGCTTGCATTGAAGAACGCCTTTTTTCGAAAGAGCACTTTCGAAAAAAGGCGTTCTTCCTCGTGAAATGAGGTTTTCCGCCGTCGAAAGAAAAGCCACGTTCTTTCGATTTAATTTCGAAAGAACGCGGCTGTAGTCTAGACGCAGGGGAAGTTTTTTTGAAAAAAGGCTACTTTTTTCTAAAAAACCCTCGAGTCTGGACACAGCCTAGGTGTAAACGCAGAGTAACACTGGGTGAATCAGGCCATAGGGGGACTACTTCTGACTTTGAATAGAATGGCATATATTCAAAAAAGAATATTTTCAGCAGTATTGAAGGCCATAATAGCACAATGTATTAATCTCTTTTTGTCTTAAGTATTTCATTGGGAGGAGCATGTTTATTTTTGGCTAAACAACGAGCTACAACTGAAGGAGAAAAAATCCTGAATATTTGCATAAGCTTCTTACTGAATATTATATTTTAATATAATAATTGTGCCTGTAGCTAGTGGATTTGTAATATGTTTAATCTATTCATCAGCAATATTTCCCACTCACAATCAATGGGACAACATAAAAAGTAGTCACAGAATCACAAAACTTGTAAAGGTCATTATGGGGGAGGGATAATTCAGTGGTTTGAGCATTGGCCTATTAAACCCAGGGTTGTGAGTTCAATCCTTGTGGAGGCCATTTAGGGCAAAAATTTGTCAGGGACGGTACTTGGTCCTGCTGTGAAAGCAGTAGATTGGACTCAATAACCATTCAAGGTCCTTTCCAGTTGTAGGCAATCTCCATTTTATTTGTTGTATTGTCTGCAAGCATAAATAGCAGCTATTTTATTGAATTGATCATTAAACAGTTTCAAACATGATAAGAGCCTTAATTCAGGCAAATATTATGGGAAATATCTTGCACAAACAATTGTATTAGCACATATTGAAATGGAATAGTAAGAAAAACAAGTGTTCCCCCTTTCCATATTCTGTGCCCTCAGGTTTCCTACCTTCAACAACACAAGTATCTGCCTCTGAAAAAGATTTGGTGGTCATGGCGGACAATCAACTGAATAAGAGTTCCCAAAGTGATGCTGTGGCCAAAGGAGTTAATGTGATCGTGGGGTACATAACCAAGGACCTTGAGTAGAGACAGAGTGTTTTATTTTAGTTCTATATTTGGCACTGGCGTGA